TCCTTCAGAGTTTGTTTTGTCCAATTCACTGAGGGAACGAGCAAAAAATGGGAATCTGGAGGGCCGAGAGAAGCATTTTAAAATGGTACACGTGAGCTACGATCGTTAACAGGCTGCCTGAGTGTGCCACATGCCTCAGCGTTAGGCTATAGCTCATCCTGGCGTGCGTGCGTATGCGCGCGTGCGCGGTAACGGGTCGATGGCGGCAAGTTGGTGGATCGAAAAGTAGATCTTCGGTCAAAAAGTTTAAGCACCCCTGATCTGCATCAATACTTTCTACTCATGTATGAGTAATAAGATATTAAGGGGAGTCAGGAGGAAATACAACAGGAATAATCAGAGAAATGAATTTCAACATATCATCTCTCCTTCAAAAGGAATCGTAAGATCACAAAAGACAAGTAGACTGAAAATTGGAATATCAATGTGGGAGAAGGAACAGTAAGACCCTAAAAGAGGACACTAAGATGGTAAAAGAGTTACCAGAGTGTGAAAATAGAATTCCTCAATAAAAGGAAGAAGACCAAGGTTGTGTTCTGTAGACTGTCAATCGTCACCAAAGACAGTCCGGCCGTGGTGTACCTAATCAAGTGTCTGGCATGGACATGCGTGCGCAGGCGTGTTCTTTGAGCGACGCACGCCGGCCGACCAGATATCGCTCGAGTGTTGACGTCATCGGATTCCAACCGAGGCATTTTCGGGGTTGCGCTGGCGATTTGGATCAGTTGCGACGCCATGGGAAGATTCCGAGTGCTAATGAAGCGCCACCTTCGACCAGACTACTCGTTGACGATCGCTTTGATCAATCCATGCAGACGTGCAAATAAGAACAAGTTGATACTCCTCCTGAAGCGGTGCCTGGCCAATAAGACTTTGGGCTGCCTCGTCGTCCCGGCCAAGGGCCCGCCGTGGAAAGTGAGCATTTTGAATAATTAAGAAGCTCAAGTGATTGAAGATGATAAAAGTCAAAGAGATTTACGCTCGCTTTCTTCTCACCATTGCTTCATTTTTTTTTTTTAATTCGCTCCATCTGGGTTTAATTTCCCCCCTACGGGCCCGGCACATTCTCATATGGATTTTTCTCCAGCAGAGTTGCCCGCCCTCGCCTGTGCCGGTGGTGCATATTTGACAAGAAAAATGTTTTGATTTTTTTTTTTTTTCTTTTGCTTTGACGTGACGTCGGGACAGATTATTACAGTTTTTACGTTGCGATTTCGACCCCGCCCACGGAAACTCGTTTCCGTGGCGCTGCAATTTATCCGCCCATCCATCCTTTACCCGAGCCGCTGCACGTGGGTGGTGGGCGTTCCGGAGCCCAATCTTGCGTTCAACAAGTGCTCCATAGATTACAAAAAAATTGAAACTAGAGTTGTGATATGTTCCCAACATACGCGTTGCCTTTGCCTCCACCTGTTCTCCCCTCAGCCAATCAGCTCTCTCCGCCCGTTCGCCTTGTTGTTTCGTCAAGTTCCTGTTTTCCTCTGGCGGAAGCGTGTTGTTGCCAAGCCAGGAAAAAAAATGACATGCTACCCTCACATATTCCGAGAGGAGATTTGTGATGTTCAAACAGGATCATTTTCACATTGAGCCATGAGTGGAGCATCATGGAAACGATTGCGCAAAAATCCCAAAACTTGATCCCACACGGTGAAGAATCGTAGCCGCGCGTCGACTGCCGAATCTTCAAAAGTGACGTGTCGAATGCTTGGAAGTGTTGCCGTCGACTTGTCCAAAGTGAGAGAGTAAATACGAACGCCAAACAGGAACGCTCAATTTGATGTTGTTGAACAACGTCGAGGCCGTAAATATGAAATAAGGTCAAGCTGTTCATCTCGCCGCTACTTCCTGAAATGATGCTTGCGAGGCTGCTGCTGAGTCGATCCATATCTTTGCCATTGATGGCCAAGCGTGACTGAATTATATCCTGGCTTTTCTTCCACAGTGATCTCTCACTCGCAAGAGTATTTCACGTCCGCTAAAATGAAGCCCTAAAAATGGAGATTGGAGGGATCTTGATGAATTGTTCGGTCTCTTCTTTGCGCTCATGCCCGCGCAGGCAGGCGGCCGTTTTGCGGCTGTTGCTGGCTCTCAGCAGGCTTGTAATGACGACGAGACGCTCGCAGCTGCTTTCCACGCATGGCGCGTGGGCGGAAGGCACTTTGCCAGTGCCTGTGCGTCTTCGCCGATCGTACCTTTTTTAATTTGCTGATGCAGGCATGCGTTTTTTTTTTTTTTTGTTTTGTTCCCCCCACCCCCACATGGTGTGCGCGTGTGTTCACGCATGTGACGGGGCGTCGCAGATTTATGGGCTCACCTCCATCGGGCCCGCCGATGTGGGACCGAGCCGTGAATCATCTCGGCCCATAACGAATTGTGATGGGCCACAGTTGAAGAGGAAGGAGGAAGAGGAGGCGGAGCTACGCGTCGAAGATGGAGGATATGCCGTTTCGCCATTTAATGACATTTAAAGGCGAGCCAGAGAGTGCTTAAATGTTTTTCCTCTCGTACAGTTCAGTGTCTTTGGCGTCAGAGATTTACCGGCGGGCCACTAATGAACGCTTTGCAAAGGACTGCGCGGCGGCCAGGAAAAATCATTACCCACAATGCTGCGATGTGGCTGCTGCATTACAGCTGCTCGTGGCCCTGGAATGAACATTTGATGTCTTTTGTAAATGCGCACGTTTGCCCATTTTGACGCGCCATTACGAGCCGTGCCGCCTTTTACGTATGTATGCCAACGTACTCTATGAATGCAATTCTGTATATGTGACACGCAGTCAAGATTCAACCTCACGGTTTTCATGCCTGCTTGTCATTCCATCTGACTTTATACAACGTGATCGTATGGAATCTGAAATCATAGCAAGTGACGTTTTTGTCCTTGAAAGCGGCACCAAATGATCGAAGGCGAGTGTGGACTCAAATTGGTGCCTTGAGACGAGGCACGAAAATATTTGTGCTTTGACTTGAGAGCAAAATTTGGTGATCCAAGCCGTCGTTCGGCTGATTTCTGTGCTCCAACTTGCAGGCCAAAATATGGGCGCTGTACCGATGGCTCCAGTGAACTCAGTTCAGGAAAGACTTTTTCAAGAAAGACTCTTCAACATGCTCACTGGCTCTCCCAGTTGAGGTTTACTCTAAAACGAGATAAAACGAAGCAAATTACACCTGTATTTAAACCTACCGCATACCTTTGCTTTATTCAAATCTGTTTAGCTTAATGCTAACAAACTTCAAAACACCAGTGATAGGCTAGCATCCATGTCGCAGTGTAACCCTTTAAGCAACAGACTTGCACACACAGACGAATGTTGACAGACCATGTCATGATAGTTACAGGCAGTGGTTCTTAACCTGGGTTCGATCGAACCCCAGGGGTTCGACGGAGCCTCTGCCATGGAGGGTAAGACACACCCAACTCAACATGTCAATTAGTTACGACACGCCCGCTTGGCCATCACCGGCTGCAGATGATCACATGACATTGCTTGTCCAATCGGTGCTGTGGGAAATTTAGCTTGCTTTATAGTCAACGTGTGACTGTCGTGATAGTAAGTCGTTCAATTTAAGAAAAAAGTATTCTTATCCATTGGAATTTTATTAACTTTTTTCTGTTTTTAATCAATACGTTTTTTTTAATATCTTTGTAAAAAAAAATATAAATTTATTTTTCACTAATCAAGGGTTTGGTGAATGTGCATATTAATTAGTTGGATTCGGTACCTCTAAGAAGGTCAAGAACCACTGGTTACAGGCATATATTCTTTCTCCTCTGCAAAAAAAAACCCTGCGCAGCGATGCTGTCACCTTTTATGTATAGCCACCGGTCTGTATAATACTGCCCCGAGGTGGCCATGTGCTCACAGCAGATGGAGCTTCACAATGTCTGCTGAATTGAAACAACAAAAAAAAAAGGCTGAACTGATTGAATTCTTTAAATTCTGTTTTGTCATGTCATGATGACAGGTTTCGATAAACTACAATAGTGCTGTTGCGATCACTCTGCATTACCGTCAAGAAAAATAGTATGCGACAATATGGAATGGTGTGGAATATGTTTGCTCTATTAACCATTCGATGGGCTCGTGCCACTGAAGCACAATGGTACAAATGGAGGAGAGTTGACAGTGCATATTGGAACTGGATGGAGTACTTACCCAACGGAGTGCAGCGTACGATGCAAAAATGTTTTTGCGGGCAGAACAAGCCAGTTCAATTATTTTCTTTTCAGGGAAGAAAAAAAAAAGAAAAAGAAATAAAATCTTGCGGCGCGCAGCAACGCTAATCCCACGTTAACTTCCCAGCACGAAGCTTGATGGCGACAATGGGAGAGTTGCCAGAGAGAGAAGAAAGTGGCACAGAAAACATAATTGGACCTAATGAATACGCGGGGGGCTCAAAAACATGGACCAAATGGATCCCGCACTGCCCTACATCCACGACTTGCGCGCGCACACACACACACACACACACAC